TACTTTTTGATCATTCCAAAATGAACAATTTCCTCGAATTCTCCACACACTACTCAAATTTCATGAACTTTGTCTTTCCCCTTCATGCCACTACTTGATGCTGAATCATTTCGAAAATTGATTACATAAAATTGAATACAGACTATCAATTTTTTTAATTTGTTTTTTAGACCTTCCTTTATAAAGTGGATATGTTTCAAGAGATAAGAACAGTCTGATGTCTGACAAATGGGCCATAAATGTGTTTCAGAATAATTCACTTTTTATCCACTCGTTTCTTATTAATATAAAATATATAAATTGTAATTTAACCGAAACAGATCATAGTTATGTTATATCCTGTGGAGAATTATGAATGGTAACTTTGAGGACTATATATGAACCAATGTGATATGTATATTTCCTATTGTATAATTGTTAAGTAACTAAACTATTCATATTCGCGTTCCTCTCATTACAAGCTTTATTTTGACCTGTAGACTATTATTATACGATTTACCATTCTTGAATTATCCCCAGTCTATTGATTACTGTTCCCCCTATTCACAGCCACATTTGGTTGAATCTTGTACAAATGTTATTTTCTATTTTATGGTACGATATGGTCAGTTTGTTTGGTATATAAACCCAGTATGTATGAGAATAATGATTCATATTTTGTGTACTTCAATTTTGTTTATAAATCAATAATTGTTGTCATAGGATACAAAGTCATAACAAACTCGATGATAAATAAAACTAAAAACTTATTAACTTGTTTTCACAGAACTTTAATGTATGATAATATGAATAATTACGAACCGGACACTAGTTTTATGTAGGCAAAGATATACACATCACCAGTCAGTAATTACATGCACAATGGCCATTAATTACTCTTTGTTAGTCACATTACACCATCGTTTATAATATTAAAATCTATTAGAAAGGTGGTTAGTAGGAAATCCTCAGTAATTCCTGGTGGGACTAAGTATCATACTAGTTGACACTAATCATTAAGACACATCTTCAGTAATAAAAAGATTGCTGATGCTCCAAAAAAGTTTGCTTCATATTAGCCAGTCTGAACGTTAGAGATGTGTAAACTAGGTTATGTATAACCCAGGTCTCAGGTTCGAGTCCCATGTGTGGGATCATGGATGCGCGCTGCTGGGGAGTCCCATACTAATATGAAACGGCTTTTCAGTACTTTCAGGTTTTCAATGGTGGTCCAGATCAGATTGACTCGTGAATTCAACTGTTAAAATGATACAAACTCCATGTAATTGTCTTAATATTTGATTAACAATGCACAGTAACTATAATTCATCTTTATCCTTAACTATCCTTGATAAACCAAGGAATAATATAGAAAAGTGCAAATTATAATAAAACGAAAAGTCAATACATTGTCAATATGATTTATTCTCTGAATCACTACAAAAGTAGACTGTCATAAAATTTAATTATCATTATACAATCACTTATTAAGTTCACCATTTTGATATATTAGTCATTGTGTAATTATGGTGCAAGTACTTTTAAAGATCGAAACATCAATTTTAATAATTTTGCATTCTAATATTACTAGTACGTAACAATTTGTAGAATAAGACACCTTTAGAGTTTTATTTTGACTTTTGAACAGATAAATGGGTGTAATCTTTGCAGTGATTCTAACACAAATATATTTACCCTTGTCAAGTATTCATGTGTAAATCATTCATTTTTTTATAAATGTGTGGATATGTCTATCGCCTTCTTGTAATTCATACATGACTTGTAAAAACTGAGTGATCTTCTGTTGTATCCTAGTGAAAACATAAGTACGGGTAACTTCCGGGACCTATTAATTGAATATCATTCTATATATATTCTTATTGTTTAACTATTGAGTAATTAGATTGTTTATATTCATATTCATCTTATTATAAGCTTTATTTTGACACATGGATTATTATTATACGAATTATTGTTCCTAAATTATATTCCGTTTATTGATTATTGTCACCCACATTCACAGCCACATTTGGCTTGATCTTGTACAAATATTATTTTCTATTTTATGGTGTAATGCTGTCTGTCTGTCTGGTATATAAACCACCGAGTATGCTTGAAATAAAGGATTCGCGTAGTAGAAGAAGCTGTAATTAGTGTTTTAGACTCAATTGGAAGGGGTAAGCGGACAAGGAACCAATAAGGACACTAGACTGCTCATACTGGTGGAACGTCATTATTTTTGGCACAGTGTTAAGATCGGAAAAGTCGTACTCCGATTAGTGGATAATTCACGTGATAAAAGCCGGACATAAAATCATAAAGCTTTATTTATTCACTGAGTCAGTGCATTATCAAGCTTCAATCATTGAATCTTCCATTTTTTTGCTTGATGTCCAGTATGAGAACACATAAAATATGTATATCCTAAATACAGTTCTTATTCAACTTTAATTATCTAAGCAAAGATGGATAGTGGCTAGCAGTGGAATCCAAGACGCGCGTTTCGTCCTATTTGAGACTCGTTAACTGGATTCACCTGCATCTGAGTTGATGTTTACTCTGGGACTCGAACTCAGTACTTTTCGCTTCATACACCATCACGTTATCCACTTATCTATTGAGGCAATACGCACAGTATGCACATATTCCAATAAGAGACTGATAAATTGCAGTCATAAACATCAATGGGAAGATTCAAAAAAACAAAACCAAGTGAATTTAATTATCTAAATTGTGCCACTGTTGTTCTTTAACAGAATGTATACAAAATAAATAGAACATACATTTCATCAGCGTCAATATAGTTCAGTCATTACGGAGTTAACAATGAGCATTAAAAGTATATATAATAGGTATTGAACCAGTTAATCTAACAATAAATGGTCATTGATCAGAGACAGAGAATTCCAAAATAAATCACAAATAAATTCCTTCTTGACGACTTCAAAAATCAAATATCAGTTAGTCAGTGGCTCGCAGTTGTGCAGTGTAGAACATGACAAATATATGCAACATTTCCAGTTGCCATTCTGGTAAGCGTTTTTATAGCAAGGTCGTTTTTTACCGGATAGGGTTGCTGACCCCATACCCAACTCCGCTTCTTTACCCTGTCTTCGGACCGTAGTAACCCTAGAAGAGCTACAGGTAGAAAACACCAACCTAATCACACATGATGGAGAAACTCTGGAATATGTGGAAAAGTTCGCGTACGTGGCTGGACAGCATTATCAATAAACAAGGAGGATCTGATGCAGACATAACGTCAGAGATTGATAAAGCAAATACCGCATTCCTACAATTGAAGAACATATGGAACTCAAAACAAATGTTTGCAAGTCAACATCGAAGTCACGATCTTCAATACGAACCTCAACACAGTTCTACTGTACGAAGCTGAAACTTAGAGAAATACTACAACCATCATCAAAAAGGTACAAGCACTTCTAGACGATTATCTACGTAAGATACTCAATGTCTGTTGTCCGGATGCCATAAGCAACAAACAACTGTGGGAGAGAACAAATCAACTAACATCTGAACAGGAAATTAGGAAAAGGTGATGGAATTGGATAGAAAATACATTGAGGAAATCATCAAACTATGTCACGAAGCAAGCGCTAACTTGGAATCCTGAAGGTAAACGGGAAAGAGGAAAACCAAAGAAAACACTGAGCCTAGATGTGGGAGCAGACATGAAAAGGATGAATAGCAACTGGAAAGTATTGCCCAGGACAGAGTTGGATGGAGAATGCTGGTATATGGCCCATACTTCTATCTGAGGGTTAACAGACGTAAGTAAGTGAGTAAACTCTGAACGAAGAGAACTATCTGCTGAGTGACGAAAATAGCATGTCGTTGCTAACAGGGTCAAACAAAAGAAGACATCACAGTTTTGTCCTGGTTCAAACTGGTACACTTTTGGAAAAACAGCACATTAAAGAAAATTGAATGAGGTACATTAAAAACATTTTGCATAATTCCACCCTACAAAACGATGTAGATGGTAATTTCTCTTTTATCCAGTGGATGAAAAAGGAAATCAAAACGATTTCATACAACTTATTCATATCTAATATAGTGGGAAATGATATCTTTGTCAGTTCTTCAAGGTATAGTGATCTTCCTTACAACAAATACCTGCTGTACATCATTGTCTCGACTTAAGATTACTTGTTTATGAGACTTTAGTGACGAAAAATTTGAATTTCAACCCCAGAACAAATATTTCCCAGCTAGTAGTCTATTCTAATAAGCCATGAATAGAGCAACCAAGTAACAAAAAACAGTCCATTTGACTGTTAAGACAATTTATGTTTTACGATTTAAAAATACTTATATGTACTATTCAGTACGATAGGGAACTTGTTGCAATTTAAATATCTAAATGGATACGCTTATGGATGCTATTTTAGGTTATGTTAGTATAAAATTATCATATGTTTCTTCTCCAACACTTTAACCACTCAATATCATGATAATGATGACACTGAAATTCAGTTTTGAATATCAACAACAGAATAATAAAAACGCTTAAGAATAAATTTCATACCTATTCACTAAATTAGCAGCTATCTGGACTCAGTAGTTTATTAGATAAAGCGTTGGTATATGAAGCTATAGCTACTGGGTGTAAGTCTCATTATGAACATCAACATTGAGATCCACTAACAAGACGAAACCTACATCTAGGTCCGTGATAACTACAGACCATACATACTAAGGCTTATAACAAAAAAGCCATACAGCCACAATCCTCATACAATAAAATAACAACATAGGGTTTTTCAGCTTCTCAGGGTGATCCAGAAATCTTCTCACAATAGACAAGAAAGACTCATGGAACATTAAGAAGCATTTTATCCAATCAGTGTTTGACTAGAAGTTTTGCTAGAAACATTACGAAAATGAAAAGTCACATATAGAGTTTCTGATTGGCTGATTACTACAATGCTACTATAGTTAGTAGCATTTCAGAATATAAAAACCCTATATTTTCTGTACATAAATGAACCTTTGGAATAAAGCGCTTCTCGCATATTTTGCTCCTTTTCTCTCGTGTTCAAGTCGCTGAGTAGATTTATCATGAGGTTTACGAGACAAGCTTAGGATTTGAGTATAACGTTCAATTAGCAATACTTATCACAGCTACTTTTTTACATGGTACACTTGTGATCTACGGAATTAGGGAAATATCAAAGACCAGAACATTACACCTAGACCAACACCTGGCAATAAATCTATGAAAATAAATCCATAATCATTTGTTAAAAATAAACAATAACCGTATTGTATTTACAGCATATACATATACAACTTGAACATTAATAATAGTTTTCAACACTTTTGTACAAAATTAATCAAAGATCGTCTTCTCTTATTTTTCAACCTTAGTTTATTATCAAATAACAAAAATAATAGTTCAACTATTCATATCAAATGATGATTTTTTTTGTATAACTATACATATAAGGCGCGCAAAGATGATTTAATGATGTATTAAAACAAAATAATTCAACGTTGAAAACTTGTTGACATTGCACTAAATTTAATCAAGTTATTATTACAATCATTTCGACTAATATTACTATCAGCATTAATAGTAATATTCGTCATAGTTTTGATATGACTCTTATTATTATTATTATTATTACGTTTTAATGATTTCAACTGATCAACTTTACTAGTTTGACTATATGGTCTTGTAAAAGAATGAATTGATAACTTTTTAATATCTGGCGTTGAACATTGATATCGTTGTTTTACATATTGATGTTGATAATGAAGAAAATTGCCAACAACTTCATAATTTGAATGATGAATACCTTTAATAGTTAATGCATTTTTCTCATTATTATCTAATTGAATAGAAAGATTATGTTTTGATAACATATTTAATCTTGTTTTATTTATATGACAATCAATATTTGGACGAATTTGTTTTCCATAAATCAATACTGTTTGATGATCTTTTGAATTATTTGTTAATAATGTATGTGTATGATCATTCATTTTGATACCATAGATCAATGATTTTTTAATATTGATCTCTGGTAATGTAATTTCACATATTGGATTATTTACTTTCCCCGTATGATGATTATACCAACTTGTTGATGATATAATACCACAATTTATAATATCAGTTAATTGTTTATCTTCATAAAATTGTATAATTCGATTTCTTTCATCATTAGTTACTTGAATACCATCAATTAATTGTATATTTTTTATATAATAAATCAATATTAATCGATGTATTTGTTTTGATGTAATTGGATTATGAATTAATGATATTTCATATAAATTTTTTTGTTTTTTAGCAAAATTTTCAAAATCAATAAAATCAATTAATTTATTATAATCAATATATAAACGTTTTAAATTATTTAATTGATTAAATTGATTTAATTCATTTAAACGATTATTTTCTAAATGTATTTCATTTAATGTCCAATTATATAAAAATGTAATTTCGTTAAAAAATTTAATTTTATTATTATCTATTACTAATTCTTTTAATTCAGTAAGATGTTCTATACCATGAATTGTATATAATTCATTATTTTGTAAAAATAATGTATGTAAATATGGTATACGATGTAATTGTAATTTTTCTAAAGATTGTATATTATTATATGCAAGATGTAATACATTTAAATTAGGATATATAGGTTGTTTTGATTTATATAAATTAATAAAATTTAATTCAATTAAATTCATTTTATAATTATTATGATTATTATTTAAAATATTAAATAATAAATAAATATGATTTGAAAATAAACTTTCAATATTATTTTCATTTAAACAAATAATTTTTAAATTTTTAAAAAATAATAAACCACCAAATGATTTTAAATAATTTTTTTCTAAATTAATACTTTTTAAATGAATTAAATATAATGGATCAATATAATCAATTGTTTTTAACATACAATTAGATAAATTTAATTCAACAATATTAGAAAAATTATCAAAATTTAAATAATTAATTAAATATTCATTAGTTAAATGTCCATTAAATAATTCATTTGATTGTATTAATTCATTAGATGTAATTGGAATACCATCCAAAGATTTTATTGATTTTAGATAATAAATTATTTGATAACGATAATGATTTAATAAATAACATATAGGATTATTAGTTAATTCTAATATATTTAAATTTTTTAAATTTTTTAAATATAAAATAATTTTAAAATGATTTAATTGATTATTACCTAAATATAATTCAATTAATGATTGACAATAAATAATTGAATTAATTTTTTTAATTTTATTATTTCTTAAACTAATTATACGTAAATTTATTAAATTATTAAATTGTAATTTATTAATTTTTGTAATATTATTATTACTTAATAATAAACATTCAAGTTTTAATAAATGATTAATATTTTCAATTATATGAATTAAATTATATTCTAATGATAATTCAATAAGATTTAAATTATTATTTAAACCTTCAATTTTTTCAATTAAATTATGATTTAATGAAAGATATTTTAAATTTATTAAATTTTCTAAATTTTGTATTTTATAAATATTTAATGATTGTAAACATAATGAAGTAATTAAATGTAAATTAATATTACTATTATTAGTAATATATGATTGATTAATATTATATGAATTATATTGATGATAATAAGCAATAGGGAATATAGTTAAATTTTGATCAAAATCATTATTATTATTATTAGTAGTAGTAGTAGTAGTAGTATGTAATTGTTGAATCATATTTGTTGTTATAATACATGAATCTAATAATTGTTTAGATAATTCAATTTCATCATTATTGATTGGTTGAAAATTGAAGAATTTAAGTGAAGTTAATTTCGCAAGTGTATAAATACGAATTAGTTTCTCTTGTTTCCATGGATTATTATTCCATGATAATTTTTCTAATTTTGGTGTATTTATTAATAAATGAGATACATTATCAATAATACATGTTAATTGATTATAATCAATTTGTAATTCAATAAGTTGAGGCATATATCCAATAGATTTTATTGATTTTAATTGATTATGATTTATAATTAAAGTAATTAAATGATTACATTGAATAGATGGTATTGTATCTAATTGACAATGAGTGATACTTATTATAGATAAATTAGAAAATTCTGTAAAATGAAAATTAATTTTTGAAATTTTTAAATCATTTAAAAATAAATGATTTTTGTTTAAATTAAAATTTATTGATTTTTGTAAGAATTCAACATTATTATTTGATAATTCATTTAAATTAGATAATTTTTTATAATTTTCTAATAATGGTAATGCAGTTATTTTGATAAACTGTTGGTCAGATTTTATTTTTTCATCAAAGATTTGAAGATTGTCATTAGTTTCAATATCAGTTTCTATCTCGAATTGATTATATACAGAATTCGATTCATTAGCTTTTAATAAATATTCTATTTCTACAAGAAATTCTGGATAAAGTAATTTACTATAAAGTAAATCAGGTCTTTGAACTTGGGAAAGACAATGACAACTTGATTGTTTTTCATAAAACAAAACATTTTCTACAAATGTCCCTTGTTCTCTTTCATTATTGTCATTTATCATGTTATGATTATTTGGCATAGATACATTCATTAATAGTAAACGTGCTACATGATCATATTGATTAAAATTACCTTCAGAAATAGATCGTTGTATCACTTGTAAATTTTTATCATCTGCCAAATTTAAACTATTAGTTAATTTATATTTATTATTATTCATTTGTAAACCATTACGTATAATATTCATATATATATTTAATTCATCTATTTTTTCCGGGCATACAAGAAATAGTAAATCAGTAAGTGTTGAAGACTTAATAGATACATTACTTACATCTATCTTATTATGATTATGATTCTGTTGAAGTACTTTATTATTAATTTTATATAAATGTAAAATTTTAATTCCATTTATTATTGATCCAATCTCATTATGATAACAAAATCTTGAATTAAGAAATTGATAACAATCATTATATAAATTATCTTTTATATAAATCTCTTGTATTTCTAAATAACCAAACATTTGTAATTCTAATTCATAAAAAAATTGTTGATAATATAAATATTCTTCTAATCTATTACATAATAGATTACATTTTAATTTTGATTGATTATAAATATTTTCCCAATTATTAATTATTTTATTTAATTCATTAATTAAATTAATAAATTGATTTTTATAAGTAGTATCATTATTAGTAGCAGTATCATTTAATTGTTTATTTTTTATATTTTCTAAAAATCTTAATATTTTATCTATATATTGAATATGTAAAAAAAAATTATTTTTTAATTTTTCAAATAATAATTTTAATAAAAATATTTTTTTTTCAATTATTGTTTGATTATTTTCATTTTTCATTCGATAATATGATTTTTTATTTTTTATTATTTCATTAATTATTAATTTAATATTTAATTGATTAATATTTATATAATCAATTTGACATAATTGTGGTAAATAATAAATTAATAATAATAATAAATTATTATGATTATTATTATTATTACATAATGGATTTTTTAAATATTCCGGTTCATTAATATTTAATTTATTTAATATAGGTAATTTATTTAATATTAATAAATCATTAAAATTCCATAATTGATTACCAGATATAAATAATTGTTCTAATTTTTGATTATATAATAAATTTGAATTTAAATGTTCAATATAATTCCCTGATAAATTTAATTGTTTTAATAATTTTAAATGATTTAAATTTTCAATTAATTGAATTTGATTATTATTTAACCATAAATATTCAAGTTTATAATTAAATGTTAAATTTTCAATTTTTTTAATTGAATTATCATATAAATATAATTCAGTTAATTGTTTACATGTATTAAGATTTTCAATTTTTTGAATTAATTTACATTCACATAACCATAATTTTTTTAAATTAGGACAAGTTTCTAATTTAGCTATATAAGTAATATCTTGTGATATAATAATTAATTCAGTTAAATATGGAAAATTTTGTAATGAGATCCATTTTTTAAAACCAGAAAATAATATATATAATATATGATTATGAAAATTTTCAGTGGTTAAATTATCATATTGTATACCATTCATAGTACATATTTCATGGAGAATGTTTAAGGATTCAAGATCCATGAATAGAGAAAAAGGGTAATTTTAAATTTAAAAATTTCTTGAATCACTATTGGCTGTTCATTTCTTTTGATAATAAATTTAATGAATATCTTCAGAATTTATTTTTTTTTAGGAGAAGGGATCCTGTAAAAGACAATAAGAAATTATCAGAAGGGTGTTTTGTGGAGATTTTAGTCATTTTATATAGTTAATATCATGAGTCAATTGAAGCTAGACTACCACTACTGAGGAGTCTCACAATAGGATGAAACGGTCGTCCATTGCTTCCAAGTTTTCCATGTTGGTCTAGATTCAATTGAATCATGATCTCAACTATATAAAATAAGAAATTATTTTGAGCTAAACTTTGTAAGACGTATTTGAACAAATCTTACTAAGGTATAGTGTTGAAATTTTCCTCAATCTGAGCATAATTATGATGAGGAACTTATCGACACTTTACTATTCGAAGACTAATATTATACCTCCTTCATAACTCCCGACCATTGCTGCTACCTTGAAGTGGTGGTCGGGCTTGCCTGTCATGATGAACCAATCGAGCTATACTGGCTGGAACAATCGTTCCTCGAGGTCCTACCATGCCAGACAGGTCGATTGAAGAGCGGTGAGACTAAAAGCAGCAAACCCAAGGTCCGAAGGCGAAGTCCTTATGCTGACTGTACAGAGGTGTGACAGCAGTAAGGTGTTTCCTTCAGACAACCAGCATAACAGCGATGTTGCCTTCCCACAAGGAGGGGTGGGGTTAGAAAAGGTCGACCCTAAAAATGCACACCTCGCCTTATCCCACGGATTTCCATCTCCGGCGATAAGGTCCTTTAAAGAACGGAGCTAACACAAAAACTACCCACAAAAAGATCGTGTGTGACCGACTTCAAGCAGTTGTCCCTTGGGCACTGCGGTCAAGCTCTCAGGTCATTAAGACCACTTCTAACCCAATTTCCTTTTCAGGTAACTCTAGAAGAAACCTTCCACGGTGTGGGCAACCGGGAAGTGATAACTGCCCCATACCTCTAACAGCATTCAAGACCACTGTAAATCCTTCATAACTAACCAAAATACCATAAATGTTAGTAGTGAATTTGTGAAACTTAGGATAACTCTATATATATATGTCAAGTTAGACATAAATTTATCAATCTACCAGTCAATATATTATTTATCAACAATTACGTCATTGTGTGAATAAGTGTATACTTTCGTTATCTGTAGTACAGCTGACTTTTCCATGTAATAACTAATGGGTGAATATGTTTCATAACAGTTCAATCTATTTCACTTTATGGTTGCAAAACGCACCTTCGAAAAGTAGAGCACATTCAAAGGTCCCTAGTATTTGAGATCAAGTGTTCTCAAAGTATTGTCAGTGTAGTGAACAAAACACTGGTTGGGGACAATCGAATGTATTTAAGCAAAAATTACAGACTATCTTAGTAAATTCTGATTACCAAACAATGAACAGTCAATTTGCAAATTAACAACCAATTGTTTCAATCTTCACTGTTTCTTCTCTTATTCCATTGCTCATGCATTTTCCAAACGATTGCGTTTCATTTCAGTTCTTTCCTCATCGGTCTTCAGCGAAAATACATTCTATGCCTGACCCACACCATATACTACTTATATAGATATAAGTAGACAACACCACATCAGTATATGTTTAAACCACTAAGTAAGCAAATTATTTTAAACCTTCTATTCTATAAGTTAATCCTTTTGATGGGACTGTAATTTGTAGACGAATCAATCAGATTTAAGATGGGGAAACTTGAATTTTAGAGTATAACTCACTCATACATATGGCTTCAGCTGACGTTGCTTCTTGATAGAAACCCTAACTCTCGTTTACCTCAACTCTTCACACAAATTTATAACCCCATTTTAACACAGGCAAGCGACCAGATTTATTCAAGTTCACTTTGGTTTCACTCAAAGGTTATTCATTCATTACTGTCTCAATATTCTCCCCTTTCAAATCATATTCTTTATATCAAATATTTGTTGTTATAATCGACACTAATCCTTTTACTGCTTTTGTATTCACTTTGATATCGTTATCTTGATGGGCTGACATGGTGTGTCAACTTGGGCCGATGAGCATTTGGCCAACGTTATACGTCTCACAAATCAGTCTGACCACATACAGCAAATTTAGTTGAACTATAAGTATAACTTGAATAGGGAAATCTAATACGAGAAAATTGACCCGTGTTAGCTGCTGATTAGACTTTTCACAAGTTCCATAGATAAAAAGGTCGATTTCTAAATTATTTATTTTTCAGTCTCACTTACTGTGCTTATTATACGTCCTGGATTATTGCTGGTAATCTTTTTAACCCCTAATGACAAACTTTTGTTTATCTTTTCATGAAAAATATAAACTACTTTATCTTTATTAAATGGTGGTTAACCATTAGCAACCAAGTAGTTTACCGATTAAAACAAAACAAAGACCAAGTACCTGACTGAAGCTCGAATGATTATAGGGATCAGTTGTCAGAGACCCTAAATGACATGGCTCAAAATCGTTTGCAATGGTGCAGGTGCATTTATTATTTGTCTCTCCCTCAAAAAAATTCTAAGCTTCTGAATTCCTCATAATGTTTTCGTCTTTACTAATTTCTATTTTCATGAGTGGTATCTTCGGTCCCTAATCTTTTCTATCACTACTTATATCGTTGCCAGCTCTAATAATTCGGGATTTCTCTTGACAATCTCATCTCTCTGTTCTAATTGGGTTCGACAACTATGACCGATGCACATACCTACTAGGTTTTAAGTTGCGACGGACTGACTGGTTCAAAACCTGTGTAGGTCCACAGCGCTTAAAATATTAAAGAAATTTCTCTGTAACCTCCTATTACCTTTTCCTCCCACAGAATAAGTGATGGGAACTAAAGATCAGTATGGACTAGTAGCTGTTAAGTCGGCTTACAGTAAACTTTATCAGAGCCTCCAGAGGCTCATAAAGAGCCCAACTAATCAGCGATTAGTTAGAAGCTATGCTACTAAAATAACGAAGTCCTGATTGGCTGTTTAACATACTGCTACTATGGAAACTCAAGGTCTTTTAATTACTATAAAACCCCTGTTTTTCTGTACATAAATGAACCTTGTAGTAAAGTACTTCTCTCATACTCGTGTCTTCTCTCTGGTCTTCAAGTCGTTGAATAGTTCTAGCCTGGGGTTATCAGAATAGCTTAGGATCTGAATATAGCGTTCAACCTACAAGATATAACAGTAGCTTTTACAAGTTCACAAAGAATTTCTAGACATCAAAGAAGTTTTGCTAGCAAATAACGATTAAGAATTAGAACTTTAATTTAACCGAAACGAACTACTAAAATGTAGAGTATTGTTTAAAAAGGCACCCAGATGTTGTAGATCTCCTTTTTTGGTAGCAATAATATAATGTACACTCATTACTTGGTGACATATGTCCAAAAAGCTATATTCTCACTTCATTGTCATGTGTTAAAAGCAGATAATAGTTTTTTCTGTATACAGTTCACAGAAATCAAAACTTCGAAAAATTTTCCACTAAGTCACGTTAATTACAGTAGTGTGGGTATAAATTTCATATCCGTGGCTAATTATAATTTCGACCGGATTGTTGAAACAGATCAAATCCAACTCAAAGTGTTATTTAAAAAGCTAAATACTACCCCTAGCGGTTGATAGACGTTCAATTTTCTCACTGTGGACAGTTAAAAATATCAATTCAGAAGCTTTCATAAAAATTATTTGCTTAGATCGACTAACACAACCTGCTTTTGATGGTCACAAACATAATCTAAAAGAGTACATTAGAATTCGCAGTTTGTAAGAATTTCGACCAATAAACACCTACATTAAAAAACAGAAAATAGATGTCTTCCACCCTATTTCAAGCTTCATAAATATATTTTTGTGTGTGTGTTTCGAAAAAGAGTAGTGATTTAGTACTTGTTGTGATTATCATTGCTTTTGGGTACTTGCTGCATCAAAAAATATTTTTGGTCTACTTTAATTTGAAGTATTTCGGTTAAGGTTTGAAATTTTGCTAAACTTCATCTTGTGGTACTTTCTTTCTCGTCGATTCTGACACTCGTGTTTACTTTGTGACCATATTGTGTTTTAAACCCTATTAATCTGATTACAATGGTTGGCAGTACTTATAAATGTGAACAGCCAAATTGTTTATTCCCTTTGGAGGAAGGAATGCAATGTGATGAATCTAAAAAGTGGCTCCACAAGACGTGTACCCGTTTAAGTCCCACCTCATAGAAAAGATGCTTGAAGCCTAACTCGCATTAACTTTCTATTTTTTGATGTGCGAATAATACATTACTGATTCAGGAAGCTATGAGCCTCTTAGCTTTGACCTTCGAGAAGAAAGATGGTAGTTGAACTGCTAGCACGAGTACTGACAGTGATTTATGTATCAGTGTAGTACGTGATGTTATGTGACGCGTTAAACACTTGACTGTGATTGATGGAAAAGTAAAATCTCCATTGGAACTAACGAGGAGTGATTTGCCACTTGATATTCATATGGGTAGTCATGCTTCTACAGTAGAAATTGAAGACCCGAATAAAACCATCACCGTTCCTAATAGTTCTGATGTGGTTTTATTGAGTGACAAAGAATGGACGACAGTACGGAGGTAAAGAAGTGAAAGGAGAAAAGCTATAAGCGGTACCCACTTGGTTGACAGGTCATTGGTGAACTCCCACTCAGAGTCACAAAATATACTACCAAAGTCTGATAGTAAAATAGAACTCCACCCTGGCGTGGCTGAGAAAAACTTAATCTTATCCAATATTATAGAAAGTAATTTGCCAGAATCAAACGACCCTGATCCCAAAATTAGACACACGCATGATTTGGAAAAGCACGGAGAATTTGTCCATAGCATCTTACCAGATAAACCTAAAGAAGTTCCGGTCAACAAATTGATAAGAATAGGTGGGAAGACCAACGACAGTGTCGATCCCCAACCGTATAGACTCCTCAAGGTAACCCTAGGGTTGAAGAATCAACACGGTCTTCCGTTAAGTAGCCCTCGTAGTCACAATAATACTGACATTCGAGTAAGACGTGATATGTCTCCAGAAGGTAGAATGAAAAGGAAGACAGCAATAGCTGAACTAGAAACTCGCCGACAAAATGGTGAGGAGAATCTCCGTTTAGTAGGTTTTCAAATAGTCATGTCTTGGAGGCGGATTCCACTTAGGCCTGTGTGGATAAGTTATTCTCTCTAGGAGTTTTATATGCAAATGCTCGTAGTCTAAGAAATAAATTCTATGAACTATGAGTACTAATGGAAAAATTAAGGCCACTCATTGTAGCTTTGACGGATACTTGGTTAGTCCACAACTTCGACACTACTACAGAATTATCCGGGCTCCACTACCTAAGAAGTGGTAGACACATGTAGGGAAGGAGGTGGCGTCCTTTTATATATAGCCAATAATATAAATATCCGCTCCTTTGCTTGCGAATCCCATGATAGTGGAACTTGTGAAGTCTTTAGTTATAAGCTTACTATCGGATACTGCACATTTGTACTCGATGTCATCTATCGCAGCCTAATCTGATTAGCTGATGGCTTTATTTTAAAGTACACTCAGCTATGGAATCCAAATAACAGATGCTTGAAATTAGGAGACTTTAATGCACCTTATATTAATGAACTGAGATGGCCACAGTATGATCTTAGTAGGTTGGTAGTAGTAGGTTGCTGATAACGGTAATGGGGCGTGTATTACTACAGCACGTATCTAAGCCAATACGTTATGATTTAAACCACGGTTTTTCTTTGTTAGACTTGGTAATCACTCAAGCAACTGAAAACATTGCCGATCTAAATATTCTTCCGCCGCTGGCGGATGACGATCACGCTGTTTCGTCATTCATGTTTAGAGCTTATGACATGATATACTGTCAGGTCAAGCCTCACCCAAATGTATGGAGAGATAATAAATCAGCTATTCAGAAGTGCACTGCTAGGACAGATTGATCAGTAGATACTAGCTCGTCAGTTAAAGAATCATGGTTTATATTTAATGGCAAGCTTAGTTCAGTTACGTTGTCGTTTATACCATGCCTAGTACCACTTAGATTGAATAGCGGTCCACCACGAATAACTAAAAAAGTCAAGAAACATCTTAGACGTAGGAAAAACATTGGAATATGTTCATCCCCATTGTCTTGGAACAGTACAGATCTAGTCATTGTAAGACTGGGAATGCCTGTAAAGCGATGATAAGTAAGACTAGACAGTCAAATGAAAAATAATTGGTTAACGATTGTAAACATAGTCTGAGACCGTTATTTCCGTATATGATAAGGCAAACTCAGAGAAGTGATGGAATTCAATCACTTTTGGTACAAGAAGATCCGTTAATATTGACCAAAGAAGATTCTGAAAAAGCTGAATTTTTATCGGAATATTTTAGTAAAACGTTTTCTATCAGCAATGAGGAATTACCAATGACTAGTTGTGATTGGCGTGGTTTGCTGACGGCTCCTGTAGTTATTCGGAAAGTTACTGTCTTAAGACCACTTCAACATTTCAAACCTGATAAATCCAGTGGTCCTGAAGATATTCATCATAGAATTATGAAAGCGCTGTCGGATGTAATTGCTGAACCTATAGCCATACTTTTTGATATGTCTCTGTGGCAGTCCAGACTGCCAAGAGACTGGAGAGACGCAATAATTAGCTCGGTGTATAAGGCGGGAGTAGAGGCTCATTTAGTAACTATTTACCCGCTAGTCTAACCAGTACAGTTGTCAAACTAATGGAAAAGATTATTCGGATGACTGTCATAAGCCATATGGAAGGGCATAATCTCTTATCCAGGGAACAACATGGTTTTCAGAAAGGCCTATCATACCTGACAAATCTACTCATTGCAAGAGAAGGTCGGACTGCGGCAAAAGATCGAAATATCCCTGTAGATGCAATTTTCAGAGACCAAAGTAAAGCCTTTGATAGGGTCTCCCATTTGGGTCTTAAATTAAAACTGGAAGGTTTTGAAATCTATTATAAGGTTATAGACTGCATAAGTGACTTTCTTTGTGATAGGGGATAGTGGGTAAAGGTAAATGGAGCTCTCTTAGAGTGGGAACCTGTAAAACGTCGAGTTTCCCAAGACAAAATCCTCCTTCCTCTTCTCTTTCTACTTTATGTAAATGAGTTGCCAACTGTAGCAAAGTCATCTGTTCTACTCTTCGCCGATAACATAAAGATTTGGAGAGCCATACATAGTATGTCAGATAAAATAGTATTACAGGATGATCTCAACTCACTGGTGGCATGGATGGGCGGATAATCACCAGAAGTGAATTTCAGAAGTAATGCAACTAAATAATTATGATCATCCATATCACTATACAATACATGGAGTTGTGTTACCTAGAGAAATGGACTATAGAGATTTAGGAATCATAATAAGCAGCGACCTTAAAACTACGGGCAACTGTAGGGCTGCTGCTGCCAAAGGCTATTCGTAGGTCTCTTCAGTATTTGGACAAAGAAATGTTTAGAATATTATACCCTACTTTCGTGAGACCGCATTTGGAATATGGAATTCAAGCGGCAAATCCTTGTTTCAAGTGTGAGGCGGATAGGCTGAAACGAGTCCAACAATGAGGGACTAGAATGACAAAGAGTCTCTCTGGTCTATCTTATGGAGACAGACTGCGAGACCTTAACTTATTCCTATTATCTTACCGCAGATTACGGAGTTATCTAATATCGGCTTATCGTATACTGAACGATGACCTTGGCATTAATTTGTCTTATCTTCTCCTTTCGTCTAGGACTGATCATCTGAGAGGATATTTAAAGTGAGTTCAAAAACCAAGATCAAATCGTCTACGTCTGGAGTTTCGTTTCTCACACCGAGTGGTGAATCTCAGGAGGATCTGAACCAACTTCAAAGTTGTGCAGACGACAACGGATTTACCTTCAACACTTCAAAGTGCAAGGTAGTCCATCTGAGACATGTTGTAGACTATAGTTATAACTTAGATAACTCCCCTCTAGAAGTTTCCCAAGTTGAAAAAGATTTAGGAGTGTTGGTACCCTACGACCTGAAATCGTATGCGAACTGTGACAAAAACGCCTCTCAAGCAAACCTTGCTCTGGTAACATTGAAGCGCATTTTTGGCCAGTTTGACGGTAGAACCTTCCATATAATCTTCAACAGTTTTATTCGTCCCCACTTACAGTACGGAAACATAGTATTTCCTCCCTCCCTCCAAAAGGATAAGGACACTCTGGAACGTATACAACGTTGATCCACGAAATCAGTTCGGGGACTCAAATTCAAACCTTATGAAGAGCGCCTCAAATCACTTAACCTTTACCCGTTAGAGTACAGGCGTCTTAGAGGTGACCTTCTTATGACTTATAGTATCCTTAATACTTCTGGTCATCCCCTTAAACATCTTCTTAAGCTTAGTCATAACACTAACCTGAGAGGTAACACCCAGAAATTGGAGAGAACAGACTGCAGATACAACTTCTACTCCGTTAGAGTTGTCAAGTGCTGGAATTCGCTGCCGACTGAGCTAGTCCAAGCGACCTCCCAGGAGTCCTTTAAGAGGAAACTTGACTTATTCTTAAGGACTAAGGATAATATATTATTATGATTTACTGAATTCTTTTTTTCCCTCCATTATCGTTCATATACCTTGGTTTTTGCCTGGAGGTATTGGTGATCCACTGCTACTAGATATGGAAGCCCCTTAAGCGAAAGCTTCTTCTATTCCGTCCTCAACCATTTGAACCATTCGAATTACTGGAATTCTCTACCACAATAGGTAATATGAGCACCTTTTGTTGATATATTCAAAAAACGATTGGGCCTCCACAATGTTATAAATTGCAAAGATTAATTCACGTCGATAGACCTCCTATCCTTATAAGTGAAGACTAAATTAATCTCTAGAAATTACTTTTCTATTCACATCAACGCTATTGAAAAGTAGTCCAGCCTACTTTCATTTATACACCCCCATTCCTGCTATCAACTCTGAAAAAACAAAACGCTTGTTTTGATTCGTCATTGTCCTTCAAAAACTGATTAATTTATTACAGTTCGTGCTGGCTTAATTGTTTTATATAAACAAATTATACACACCACACTTTTGACGCTACGAAAGAAGCCACTAAACGGATTTTACGTAATGCTAGAGATAATCTGAAGGCAGATGACACTGGATCAGGTAATCCTCGTGAAGTTGATATACATTAACTCCACAAGAAACACGATGAGAAAAAATAAGTCTTGGAAAAAAATCAAATCACATAGTGAACTAAAACAGTTGAAAAAAAAGTCCTACTAAAACGGGCCACGTGAATTCCATTAAAACGCCCTCACCTTGTTGTTGTAATTTATCTACAGAAAGAACTACACGTTTCTATCATATTATAAAACGCGGGGCTGCGGATCTTAGGCATTTATTATTTAAAACAACTGAACGAATAGGTTGATTGCAATGATGATAAAAAATGTTTAGGCCAGTGTAACATCAAGCACTGAGTAGGTTTGTGCCTATTCTAGAGGTAGATAATGGGCTATCATGTGTATATTAATAGTATGGCAGAACGAGAACATCTAATAATACTAATTCCTATAATTCTGGAATGTACAATTTGACACTATTATTTCATGTAAATCTGACGGAAGACGTTACGTTAAGTTTCTAGTACCTGAGAATCCACTGGAGTATTCCCAAATACTGCAAGGATTCGAATAACCATCTTCAGAGAGCAATCAAAAGTTTAAAAAAACTCATCAACAAACCAGATCGTAACCCTGAACTTAGGCAAAAACGACCTCACTGTCAGTGGCCCGGAGAAATTAAACAATACAGTAAATCTTAACCAAATTCAAATAACAACGGCTTAGACAAGAAAGAATGAATAGCACTAAACGTGGTCACAAAAGACCTGAGTAAGTGTGACGATACGAGACAAGTAGAAAAGGCGAAGAAATAAAGACACGCACCAATAAAACACTTTTGATGAATTTCAGCTTATCCTTTCCGCTACAAAAACTATTTATGATGTAAAATGGCATCAAAAACCCATGGTTTTACAGTCAAGAACTCTGATTTTAATAAAGCACTTGCTCTGTTTTGTTTACAACCTCCTGTTGAATGAGATGCCAGGCATCTACTGGAAGAAACTCCAATCAGAAGTATCAGGTATGGTGTTTGTTTCTAATGTCAAATTTCCCTGTATATTTGTTTGGTTAGTGACATGGAATGAAGCTATGTGTCTAACAGACGTATTTCAGGTGTTGCGTCATGATGATATTGAGGAAGACTGAGGGAAAAAAAAGATGAAAACAGAGAAAAATAGATGTAAATGTTCAACAAATTTTGATCCTTTGTGACTGAAGATGTAGGACATAATAACTTGGCTGACTCAATGTGAACTGAACTTATCCTATTAAAATTAAAAACACGAAGTTCAGCGAAGGGATCTCTTTTCAACGAATTTATTATCAAGCTGTACAATCGTATATATATATGAAAAAGTTTTGTTAAAGTACTATTTCCGTGAGGAAATGTGAACACTAATAACCAAGATTGGTTCTACAATGGTGAAAGGAAAACAGTTAGAAGTTCTATACTTGAACACTTAATCGACTGTAATCATTCGACGAATCCAGTCTGATTTTAAGGTTGTTTATATGATTCGTTTAAATCTACCAAGATTTCTTCGTATCAAACTGTTGAAAATAGCCGAGGCTCTTACCATCCACGAGCTCAAACCAGAACTATGCGTACAAAAGAAGTACGTTTTATCATTATCGTTACCATGGCCTTAATATTATTATTAGTATAATTCTATTATTATTATTAATATTATTATTACTACTCCATTCTCCCTTTACTTATGTTTTATATTCGCATTATTTTATTCATGAATACTCATCATATCATCTTATTTATTTTACACCTCTATGACCTTTAATGACCTTTAATTATTGTAATCAAAACATTTTAATCATCTTATTCTATTCACTAAATCTATTGTTACTACTCCTATTACGTAATCTAGTATTATAATCTTGGTTATTAGTGTTCACATTTCCTCACGGAAATAGTACTTTAACAAAACTTTTTCATATATATATACGATTGTACAGCTTGATAATAAATTCGTTGAAAAGAGATCCCTTCGCTGAAATTCGTGTTTTTAATTTTAATGTTTGAATGGAAATTATATTATCCTATTAGGTTAATTGTTATTCGAATGTCTTTTAATGAATTACAACAGACAACAGAAGTGTATGTAAGAAATATGGGGCCAAACGAATGAAAAGGAATTAAGAGAACCGAAGCGTGTTAAATCTGTGTTAATTTACATATTTAAATTATCGTAATAGAGCTTTTGGTTTATCGATTCCTTCATCTTCACTTTTTTCCTTCTCTATGAACTTTTTTCTTGTAATCGTAAGCAAACCCATTGCCTTTAATGTATGAGACTGGTTTTGCTTGTAATAGGATTTCCGGAAACGGAACCATCCTGAGCTTGCAAACATGAGCCGTGGAGGTAGCGAAAGCAGGAGAATAACTTTAATATCGTTGACTATTTGTTCGTCATAGATCACAAGATACAGCCATCGGTAAACAAAATGATCTGAACTACAGGCATAGGTTGACCGAAATTATCCATATGCCATCATCCTAGTTAGCTCTGCCTGTAGCTCTTCTAGGGCTACTGCCGGTTCCAAGTCCATACAAAGGAGCAGGGTTTCGCATGGTATCGGCAACCCCATTACGTAGAAAAAACCTTGCCAAAAAACGCTGACCAGATCAGATGAAAATAAACCATTTAAACTCTGCCCTCCTAGTTGAAAAAAGAACTATGACGTCTCGTAATAAAATCCGATATTCTTCAAAAGTCACGAGGCCGATGCCCATTCTAATAACCAAAGCAACAACTTTTATAGGTAAATGGAATGTCCGGAAAGTGTGAGAGACCTGAGGGACCAGTCAAATAGCATCAGAAATGTGGTGATACAACTTGGCAGTTCTTGGAACCTGCGAAACCCATTGGATCCAAGCTGGACAAAAAAGATTAGGCACAGGAAAGATGCTGCTGTACTCCGGTCACAAAAAGGAAGTTGCTCTGATGCTGTCCAAAGATGCACAAAATGCACTTACAGGATGCGAATCTCATGAATCCAGAATAATCAAAGCACCATTCAAAACACAGAGAGAAAGAAATCACATTGTGATAGCAACGACAAGAATAAGGATCACTTCTACAAGAGTCAGCAATCATTCATAACCAAGTGTCCAAAAAAATATCTCACCATCCTGATAGGAGACCTAAACATCAAAGTCGAAACGGACAACACCGAATATGAAGATATCATGGGATTACATAGGCTGAGAGAGAGAAACAAAAATGGTGAGAGATTCGCAAACCTATGTGTACTCAACAAATTGGTTATAAGCGGCACAATATTCCCACACAAACTCATAAACAAACTACATGGGTCTCATTGAATCAAACTGCACACAACCACATCGATTATATTTGCATCACTAAAAGTAAATAGTATTTGCCAAGAAATCAACCACAAAAGTCTGCGTGAATTCTCTATCAGGCCTCAGACGATACTGGCCATGAACTCCACTTCGAAGACTGACTTCTCAACTTATGACATCTTTCGCAACTGCTTGCTGTACGATATATATATGCATTTATCTATGGCCACCAACATTTGAGCTTTGCCAAGGACTTCATTTTTTCAACACCTACATGCCCATTGTGAAGACTTTCAAGGACATATTTAAGTAATCAAGAGGGAATAATGACACGATCATTCGGACACATCATACCATCAGAAGTAATCGACGCTCATCCCGCTTTGAAAAGTAGAAGGGAAATCTACTTCTCAGGCTAGCATTCCAACCTTTCCGTATAGCGCTGAGTATACATCCAAAGTATCTACGAGTTTCTCTAGTGAGATTGGGAAGTCTCACTGGTAAAGGTTTCACTGACAAACATTCTGAAGTATTAGTAGGTTAGTCTTGTAATGAGTGTCGAGACATGTAACCGACATGTTGAACTTGTTCGGCACTTCTGTTCTGAATTGTATGGTCACAGGTACGCAAAGTTATACTCCATCGTTGAACCATAGCAGCTGAGGAAAGTGTTAGGGATTTTTCAGGATTATAAATGAACTCTAAAGCTTCGTGGTCAGTAAATATAGTGAATTTCTTTCCAGATAAATATTTATGAAGTCTTTTGAAGGCCCAAAATACAGCTAATGCTTCTCTCTGAGTTTTTGAATAACCTTGTTCAGCAACATTGAGTTTGGATGAAACGCATACTAAAGGTCTACCTTTCTGCCTTAAAATGTCACCAATACCCACAGGTGATGCGTCAATATTAAGTACAGGATGTACACTGGGGGAGTATGTTCGATGAACAGTATCACTTTCAAGAAACTTCACTGGACTCAGTAGGCATGGCTCTTGTTCCTTATCGTATCTTAATGCATTGAATGTCAACATATTGAATAAACAGTCGGCACGACAAGAAAAATAAGTAATAAAAAGGAAATAGTATTGAGGTGCACCCGCTAGTGAACACAGTTCTGTAAGTTTTTTGAAAGGTAGTGTATTTGTCAGTGGAGCTAGTCACTTCATATCTGGTTTAAAACCGTTACTGTCAACTAGATGTAGATCATAAATGTAGATGGTGTGTCGAACGATTGGGAGGAATACTCGAGAGGGAAAGGAATGGTTCGAAGAACCGGTTAACTTCGAAGTCACACCTCGCGGTCAGCATCTAGAGTGGATTACCTTTACGTTGTACAAAGGTACAATGGCTGCTTTGAGTGCCGTATAACACAAGGGACGTTATTACAGAAATATATTAGTAGTAGTAGGTGCAAGAAAGAGATTGAGACCACCACCTGACGGGCCAATCCACGGCATGTGATTAATTGTTGCACGTTGGTTGAACTTGAACTTGAAGAGGATTGGTAAACCGTTCTATATTTAATGGCTTAACTGTCGGGGTCAATGACATTTCACTAGCCCCACATAGGTATCCAAGACATTCAATACTAAGTACACGAAATCAGAACTTACTACGATTCGCCATATTATTCTTCCTAATTAAACGACACATTGATGCAATAAGTCTCTGAACATGATCAGCATTACCAAAAATGTAACAACCAAAATGACAATATTCTGTTTGAACACAGAACTAACGAACCAAAATATGTTCGGTTAGACCAGACTACGTTCTTCTGCATAGCGTACAAAGCGTTTTTGAGTTACCAGCACAAACTCTGTGTTCAATATGAACGGTTCTAATTTAAGAAAAAGAACAAATTGTTATATCCAGAAGAGAATTCTGAATGGTAACTCTGTGAACTATTTATGGGCCAATGTGATATGTATATCTCCTATTGTCTAG